ATAACTAGAGCCAGAAATACTGTCATACCGAGGGTTGGGCTGGCGTGGTTTGTGGCGTAGGTAATGAACCCCTCTGGAAGCTTATGTAGAGCAATGGCGAGTGAGGTTTGAAGCCCAATGGAAAGGAATGCATTTTTAGGAACGTGATGGTGGTGGGGGTTGCCGCCGGCAGATTTGGGACGCCCAGAATCAATATCGTCGAGGTAGCTATGAGATTCGTCATGGTGATGATGCTCAGAATGCGGACGAGATCGATGACTTAAATGTAGGTCTAAAATCGGAGACGAAGTGGACGATCGGTGCATATCATGCTGTACAGAGATGTTGTCAAAATCTCTCCCTTCCGGAGTGGGAGGCACATGTTCATTATCGTCAATTCCTACGCGGGAAATTTCCGATTCCAGCGGCACGGATATACCTTCACAATGCAGCAAGTTTGGTCGCGCGCTCTCATCGCTGTTGGATGGTGGAAGCACTTTGTTGCATTCGAGGCCACAGGTTTGAGAAACCCCGAAGCAAGGCCCGTCCTCGTCACAGGCGGATTTTACGCCACCCATGAACGACGTAATGCGGCGCGCTAGCATTGCCCGCATCGTGTCGCGGCGTCTGGGTGCCGGCTCGATGTGTTGGCTCGCTTGTACTACCGCTGGCGTTGACTTGAATGAAGATGGCTTATTATGTTGCAACAGCGGTGTTCGTTCGGTATGTCCATTTGTATCGTTGTGGACATGGTCCTCGTGTGCGGCCTCGCCGCGCTCGGCATCATTTTCTGACTCGTCATGGGTATGGGCACAGTCGACAACATGAGATGGGATGTAACGATGTGCGAACGAGGATAGTATTTGAATGCCGGCCACTCCAGCAATGAAAAGACCGATCAACATATATGCAGATGCAGCGGGAGAGAAGCCGGCGCGGGTAAGGTACTGCTTGGATGTGGGAAGCATGCTGTAGAGGGAGGTAAAGAGCTGCCTAGGATTAATATAGTTCACCTACTCCTCCAGAATGATAGCTTACCATGACTCCAGCACTGAGACATAATGATGCCGACAGGAAATGACTACTGTTGGCGATCTGGAAGCTCTTCCGGCGAGAGACCACTTGCACCAGCACATCGACGCAGATGATAGAGGAACCAAGGACGCATGCTGAATATAATTAGTGGCTAATATTTCAAAGACTTCAGGCGACGCTTACCGACACCTGAGACGGTGCTCATCACCCACCCCCGGAGGTCGTTGGCAGACATGGCGTGGGGAGTTGAAGGAAACGGAAACGGTGATGTAATTAGCAATCAACGTGGTTGGCGGTCAAGACTTTGCCTCTCTTCCTCTCTCTAGAGGAATGAAAATATGACGATATTCATGATGGGCATTTATGTTAATCACTTGCGTTGTCTGAGGACAGTGCATTCCGTCCCCAAGGTTCTCACTGCACCTCTGCAAGCCCCCCTCATGGCTGGGATCTGCGATATGGAATAAACGATCTGGCATCGTGAACGTCCAGTTTGAGAGTCCCTAGGACTATGGGATATGGAGGAATATTTCCTATCTGAGGGTCATAGATACTGCCTTTCATTGCAATCTGTTCTGTGATACTTGACACTTTCTCATATGAAGGTGCACACCTGGACATGTGCAAGGGATTATGCAACTGACAGTATCTGGTGATTTGAAATAATTTTAGACTCACCGGACTCAAGAGAATGACAAGTATCACGAGAGGCAAGAGAATATATATACGACACCTCCCATGCCTTGGAATGACAATAGTTCCGGGCCCCATGTGATGTGATTGGCCCTTGACTCCCCATCTTTTTTGTTGTCTTCGTGTTTCGGCTCTCTCGACACTCTAGCCTCTCAGCTCTACCTAGGTAATTCCAAGGGACACTCAGCCATGTCCAAAGCAACTCTGGCCGTCATCGCTGCCGCCAGCGCAGCTACCGGAGCTGGTGTCACCGCGCTGCTCTTCTCCGGCAAATCCTCGAAGCCCCAACAACAAGAGACCCTCTCTCCGACACCGACAACCCCGGGCCTCAAGGTACCCTCAACCATCCCGGCCCCAGCCCTGGCATCCAAGCGAGCCATCGGCCCCGTCGACCCAGCAGGAATCCTCCAATATGGTTTCCCGGGCCCAATCGCCGACGAGCTCTCTTCCCTCCCATTGCACGGCGCCTACGACCGACGCACACGCAACCCATCTTGGGTCGCGGAACACATCACGCCAGAATCCCTGGGGATCAACAACGCCGACAGAAAGAAGAGTACCTTCTTCGAGGACACGACCATCCCGGGGATGTTCCGCGCTAAGCTGTCCGACTATTTCCGCTCGGGCTATGACCGTGGGCACCAGGTGCCGGCCGCAGACGCGAAGTGGTCACAGGAGGCGATGGACGGCACGTTCGCACTGAGCAATATGTGTCCGCAGGTCGGCGAGGGCTTCAACCGCGACTACTGGGCGCATTTTGAGACTTTCTGCCGTGATCTCGCCAAGCGTTATCCCTCTGTTCGCATCGTTACTGGCCCCCTGTACCTGCCTCACCGTGACCCGGATGGAAAGTGGCGCGTTAACTACGAGGTTATCGGCAACCCGCCTAACGTCGCTGTGCCCACACATTTCTATAAGGTTATCTATGCCGAGGATGGCACCAACTCGCCCACGAGCAAGGTTGCACTCGGTGCTTTTGTCCTGCCTAATGCTCGCATTGCAAATGATAAGCGTCTGACTGACTTTGAGGTTCCTCTCGAGGCTGTTGAGCGTGCTTCCGGTTTGGAGTTCGGCTCTAAGTTGGACCTCAGTCGTCGTCGCCGCTTGTGTCAAGAGGTGGCTTGCTCGATCACTGTGCGCGAGTTCAACAATGCTAAGAAGCGTTCTTGAGATTGATGCCACAGAAATGTGAGGAGAGAGACCAGGCTTGCCTTTTGACTTCTCGTATGGCTTCACTGTATTCTAGATACATTGTATTTGCATAATTCGGGCGTTAATAACCGCTCCGGGCGGCAATATCAGGATCTTTCTTTATCGTACACATAATGGAAACCTGTGATGTTTCATGTTTCTTTCTCGCTTCTTTTTATTACGAAGTTGTTCAGCACTGGAACGCAACCCCGGTCTTCTTCCCCATGCTCCCACCTTTGCTAGCAAACCCAGTCCCCTCGGAGGAGATCTCCACCAGACCAGGCTGAATAGCATCCCTATCCTTTTTCTTAGACTTCTTGTTATTCCCATTCCCCTGATCTGATTGTGACTTCGCCGTAAGATCTGTCTCACAGACGAAACATAAAACCTGACCATGGAGAGCAGCAGTCTTCTCCTGCTCCTCTTTCGATGCATGTGGATCAGGGATGTGGTTTTCGTGGGGGGTCATGAATTTCGTTACACACGGAGAGCAAATGACATGCCCGCAGGGCTTTGTGACTGTCATGAGACATAATTAGCAAAACCCAATGGCTGTACCAACTTCTACTCCACATACGCATCGCTTTGAGCCCATTACTTAAATTCTTCGTGCAACTCGGACACACCCTGGACACAGTCCCGTCGGAAGCCTTCTCCTCTGTGAAATTAACCTCAACAAGCGACTTGAGCGAGTAGCTATGTCGGCTCTCATCTGTCGAGCCAGGACAGACAGGCGTCAACTTGACGGTCTTGTTGGCGGCGATTTCATTCGCATCAGTGTTGGGCGTTAAAGACGGGACCCAGAAAGACGGCAGAGCAGATTTGCTAGCCGACTAGAGCAAATTTGTTAGTTCAAAACAAATCTCCAATCGAAGACCGAGGCTTTAAGCTTCAAGCTTCAGCCCAAAGAAAGACCACAAACCTTCTCCATCTTCAACTCCATCCTCAACCTCTCCTTCTCCTCCCCTGCAACACGAGCCATCTCCTCCTCCCCAAGCTCAAAAACCCTCTTCCTCTTCCCATCAACCTCAACCTCCCTAGCCTTGAACTTTTCTAAAGCCTCGGACTCCTCCGCCTTGCGCTTCTTCCCACCTTTATTCTCCAACCCCATGGAAACAAGCTCGAAATCCCTGAGATCTCTCTCCTTCATCTCCGCCAGCGAGCGCTCCTCATCCTCCGCGATGCGTTTCCTTGCCTCGTCGCGCTCTTTTTCAAGCCGCTTGATCTCCTGCCGTTGAGAGAGGAGGTCGTTGATCGCACACTCGCGGCAGAAGAGGTCGCCGTTACTGGCGCATGCGACTACAGGCGCCCGCGCGGGTTGCAGACATAGACGGCAGGAGCCGAAGCTTAGGAAGCTGTCGCGGCCGATTGCGCTGCGTTTTGTGCCCCAGGTTGAGCGTAGAAGACCGCGTTCGTAGGAGGTAAAGTGTGGGAGGGAGGTGTTTCGCTTTGAGTGCGCCATTTTGAGTGTGGATGGCGTGGACGTTGATCTGGGGTGAGGGTGGCTTTTTGTAGCTTCTTGGATGGCGTAATACGCTTTTAGTCGGGGTTCGGCGGCGGTGGGGCTTGGGATTGGTGTGTTGGTTCACCGCTCAGCTTACCGCTCTCATCAGCCCTATGCAACATCGTCGGACTTCACTACATTGTGTATCTAAGCTTGCACAGACACTGTTGAAAGCAAAATATCAAATCAATCATTGTCAATCGTAATTCGCTTTTGTCTATCGGTGATTCCACAGCCTCACTCGAAAGAAGCATGATTGAAATGAAATAGCCAAGCCATGAGATATCAAAGCACGCCCATGAATGCAGCCTGTCATACAGATCTGATTCAACGATCTGACAGTAAATGAAAAATTCCCAGAAGCCTAAACGTAGACGCGGACGCAGAAATATGCTCAAAAACCAGACCGAACCGAAAACCTGCCACGAAACCGAGATTCACCATATGTTAATGCAAGGACAGCAAGGAAAGTCAATTAGGAAAAGGCAAAGTGAGATGCATGAGTTTGAAAAGGGGTATAATAATCGTCAAGCAGAAGATCAAGATGAGAATGGTCAGGATATACAGAAGAAAGGAGAAAAAGATAGGAGGCGTAGAGTCAGGCTCCTACGGCCTGCTCGCGTATGTTTTCGCTGGACGGGCTATCAACGATTCGCTCATTGATAGATGTAGAGGAGGGGGAGGGGGAGGGGGAGCCGTCATGTCTTGGCGCGGAAAGATGGCCGTATATTGTGGATGAAGGAGAGCAATGAGTATGTTCGGTGTCTAGGGGATCTGGGGTCGGGAACGAGGTGATCACCGGGGAAGCCGGGCTCCCAAAGTCCTCTTCCGGTTGCTCTTCCGGTTGCTCTTCGTGCGCATCCTTGAACTCCGCCAGATCGTCGCTGGTACGCACACTTAGGCCAGTTGCGTTGCTCGTCCTGCGCGCCGAATGACGTTCGGGGCTGCGGTCGGTCATAATCGACTCGCCGTCCAATATAGCAGGATCCGACGCCCGTGGCTCTTCATGAGGGGTGGGCTTGCGGAGCTTGAGGCGCTCCTCCGGGGGCATGTTCTGCCATTCAGACCCGAATGTGACGACGGATGCCTTCTTGCCATGCACGGTGAAACTGGGGGCTTTGCGAGGAAGGACTTCTCCATCGCCGGATAGTTGATCGTCCTCCTCCTGTCCAATGCTAGACACCGAACCCCGTTTCTTCTTCGAATGAGAATGGTTTCTATGAGCATGCGAATCACGGAGGGTGCGATGAAGGCTGCGACGGACACGACTCGGTCGATCGCTCTTGTCGTGTGGATGTGTCTCGCCCTCGGTGTCTTTACCGGGAAGTGCGTCAGGGGCAATCTCTTCATTCTTATGTGCCGACGGGGACGCCGGCAGCTCCAGAAGACCAGCTTCTCTTAGAACACGCTCCTCGCCGTCATCAAAGCCCACAGGGGATGTCAGTTTCGATGTACGAGAAGCCAGACTAGCTCCATCCCACCGGCTGGCACGGCTGAGGAGCGAGGCTTCACGCTCGAGTTTAATGGTCGATGGATCGGGGGAGTATGACTTGGCACGTTCGGGTACAGCCACAGCAGAGCGCCGACGCCCGACACGGGCAATGTCAGCTGAAGTGGCAGATCCTGGGATACTGGGACGACGCAGTTCGTCATTCGAAGGTTTAGCCAGCAGTCCAGCCTCCGAGGGCTGCTCGGTTTGTGCCACATGAGGCTCGGGGACATCGGCGCTAGAGACGGTATGCACAATACTACCGGCTCTTTCCACGCTAGGCTCGGATGTCACGGACGGCCCGGAAGGAGAGGCCAGGCGTGCTCCGTCCGACTGGGATTGCGTCGGTTCAGAGACCGACCCGACCCTACTTTCCTCTGTCTCTTCATCCTCTCCTAAGTCTCGCAGAAGAACCTGGCGGTAACATTTGCTACGCCAGATATCCTGTCTCACCCATTTGATCTTGGCAGACAGGCGGCCTGCAGCCATGATGACGCCCTCACGGGCCCGAGCGTGAAGAGGAGTGAGCACTTGCAAGTGTCGGGCATTTTGTAAAAGATCATCCAGTTGCTTTTGTGACACGGCGAGCTTTTCGTTTCTTTCCCGGATTTTTTGGCTCATTAATTGGCGCCGCGCAGCAACAAATTCGGCAACAATGTCAGTATCGATGCTAGGAGAAGGGGGCTCTATGTCCGTCGACTGTTGAGACTTTTGTGAAGATATCGAGCGTAATCGCTGACTCTTGCGGTATCGCTGTCCCTCATAATTCGTGGCGATCATGCCCGTGGTGCGCACACCAGTGGTCCTGAAGGCTGCCGCGTAGTTGAGGTGTGCAAGCCAGTCATTCATCTCAGGCTCAGAGCTGGCAAGGAATATCTCCTCCAACGCGTTGTGTCGAACAAAGATAAAGGCATGCTTATGCTTTTTATAACTTGAGTCTAGGAGGGCAACTGTGTCACCAGTAGACACAATGTTGTCCGGCTTGAATTCAGCAAGGGGCGGGTTGAAGACAAGAGTCCCTTGACGGCCATTCTTAACATATGCCTCCTGCTGTGCCATGAGTGAGCGCACCCAGTTCACATTGCGGAAGAAGTAGAGCTGAGAGAATGTGAGAATGACCCCCATTCCTGCCAGGGCGACCTGGCCTTTTTCTTCTTTGGGTGTTTCCGCCAAAGCAAGCCGACCTTGGCGACTTTGATATCTACCAGACCGGGATTTGAGTCGCGTGGGCTATCTAAGCTAGCCGGCATGAACGCGTCAGGACGAGAGCGCAGAGAAATAATCTGCAAGATTCCAGACTTGGTGAAGGCCTGGTGAAGAGCATCTATGTCGGGTGGGCCAGCGGTTCCAAAATGATTGTATGTATCATCCAGATCCATGACATCCTTCAAGCTGGGCCGCAGAGATCCTAATTTACCTTCCAGGATAAGCGAATAGGGGTCGACAGGTTCCCGTGCAATGCGGGCCAAATTTTCGGAGCTAGTGGTTTTGAACAGAGTGCGACGTGGTTTCGCCAAGTGTCGATCAGGGAGATTGGCGTCTTCGACGCGAATGAACGGAGTGTATGAGATGTTCTCATAGAAACACTCAAGAATATCGTCTGATATTCCTTCACTGCGGCTTATCTTGACATAATCCGCCTTCTGCATCTTCCGTTTGTTGTTCTTATTGAAGACATCGGTGTGAAGAATCAAAAGCGAGAATGCAATAAAGTATGCGTTATCCGGGGATGTGAAGATGCCAGGATTACATTCGTGATAGCGATCAGCAAAGGCTTGCACGAAACGATCAATCTGCTGTGTTTCTTTCGGAAGCTCGACTTCCATCAAAAGTTTGCGGATTGCCATGTCGAGTGGGTCACCGAAGTATGAGAAGGTTCTCATATGTTTTCGGAGACACACCTTGTAGAATTCCTCGTCTGATTGAGCGAGGACACCCGCAATCATGCCCCGAGGCAAAGTTTCTTCTAAACGTGTCAGATATGAAGCGGGTGTGTCGTTTTCTTCCTGTTTTGGGATTGCTAGCTCTTGCTTTACGGGGGTGGAGGCGCCACCTATCGTGGGCGAACCATGATGAGGAGAGGGTGGTGATGAGTTTTGCCTCAATCGCTGCGTGATATTAAAGATGTCACCGAAACTCTTGCGGCCACTGGTCGAAGTGGACGTGCGCGCCGAAGATGCCAAATATGGAGGTATGGACAAGTCGTCTTGGTTCTCGGCCAGCGATCCCATGGTAGACGAACGTCCTCGGTTCTTAAAAGAGGGGTTAGACCGAACTGAGCGAGCGGAATTCGTCGAATCATTTCGAAATAGCGGTGGTACATTTGAGGAGGCAACGAATCCCACGGTGGAACGAGCTGGCGAAGGTAGTGGTGAAACTTGGTCCTGACCATCTGAAGGCTCGGATTTTGGGGTATCTGCTGGGGGGAGCTTTGGTCGACTATCCACACCTCCAGCCGGCTGCGAGACTTTGGGGGGTAAAGGAAAGAGAGGAGTCCGGGATCGTGTCAAGCGTGGCATACGGAATCGCTTTGCGGTAGTGACGGGTTGAACATCACGAGGGGAAATGCTTGGGGTGACTGTCTGGTCACCGTAGCTCTGGTCTGATCGAGACGATTCGGAAAACCGGGGATCGATCACCGACGAGCGCTGGGAGTCGTTGGGCTGTGTGGTCCCGCCCCGTGAGTTGGTTGACAAGCGCCCTGGCTCTTCGGTAATGCTCTGGGACATGGCAAGCGTCGAGTCGGTAACCTGGGAGTCGGTTGATCCTTGACCTCTTCTACGAGGCTTCGCAGGTTGTTCCATTGATTTCCGAGACATTTCCTCCATGGACTGTTTTCTTGACGACGGTCGAAAGCTGAGCTTGGGTCTCTGTTTCACCGGTTGGTCGAGCTCGTGACTGGTCGGGGCGGTAGTGATAATTTTAGGAGCTTTATTCGGTAGACATAGTTAATCAATTTATCCTGATGAGCATTGAGTTGTGCATGTTTTCACTCACGAGGTAAGGAAGGGACCGGGGGAGTTTCCTCGCCCGCTTTGACGTAAGACTTGGATAGCTGGGGGTCAGAAGCATGGCGTAGTCTCATGAAGCTGAATCGCTTGTGGCGTAAGTTGGGACGGTCCCCCGAGGATGGTCCTGCAAAGTCCGACTGAGATACCTCATGGGTTGACCCGTTCTCGTCCGGTACCTGCAGTCCTGGATCTACTTCTTCTGACAAGCCGGGCGAGCGAGGAATTGACTCGGATAGTCTAGGTTCGGCGGGGGGGTAGGGACGAGGAAGGTGTTCACTGCGACGGGATAGGCCTTGAGGATCCATGGTGCTCTGCCTCTTGCCATCGGCCACGAGACGCAGTCCTTTCCAATGCATGGTGAAGGGCAGAGCGTGAGGACAAACCCAAGCTAATAATCCATGGAATGTAATATGTTAGATGGGGAATTGAAATAGAAACGGAGGACATTGCCCAGGTGGATCCAGACGCGGTGGAGGTCCCTCGCAAAAAGGGGAATGCCGGAAAGGGAAACGTTCTAGATTTCTTGTTTCTGCCCGCCACGCGTATTTTCCTTTTCCTTTTCCTTCTTTTTTGGATCTTCGCACAAAAATAGATAGAATCAGAAATAAGAAGAAGAGAGAAAAAAAAATAGAGGGGCAAGGCAGACGAGTTAGAATCTAGGCCTGAGCGTCGGGTAATTGACCGGGTTTAAGTATAGAGATGGACGGCGTAGAAGATAGAAGGTTGCCGTTGACGTTTATTCAGGGTTGTTAGCTTCTATTTAAATCGTACAGATCAGATAGATTAAAGGATCTTTAATTAGTAGTCGAATCATTCTATTCCTATGGGGTATAGTTGGAGTACATTAGGTACTATACCAAGTCCTGCTATCACTAAAAGTGCCACTGACGTAGAACACAAATATCGCGAGGCCTTTCTTCTTTTTCTCCGGATGTCTATGGACCAGAGAATTTCTTGCTTTGCATTCTATTCCAACTGCATTTGATGCATTGAACTTGATCCTCGTGGACTATATCTGCCATCGTTATCTCCCCCAACGCTTTTTCCCCGCCCTCTTCTCTTTTCTCCGCATCCAGGCTCTCACAGATATCCCTGTGAACCTCAGGTCTGACTTGGGTCCACCAACTCCCCTTCCTTCACTGGTTCTTGCGACTCGGCATGCGTCTTTTCTCTCCCATATTGGTCGCGTCGACCTTGCTTCCTCTTATCTCCGCCGTCCCCGCTGGTTCAAGCATCACCCCACCGCCACCCCTGCTGCCTTCCCACCTCACTCAATCCAACCCACGCCCATGGGCTCGACTCCGTGACTGGGTAATTGGCTCAATATGGGATATTGATCACAAACGGTGCCCTTCAAAATACTCGTCACCACCGTCAGATATTCACGATCGGTATGGCAGTGATGTCGTCCTCCGCTTTCATCTGCGCCAGCCAGACGAGGCAGAAGCATTGGCTGCCGCCTCGCAGGTGCTGTTTTTGGATATTTGGGCAATAACCTCCAAGTTCGTAGATATTAGACTTGCAGATGATATGGTGAGCTTTTCTTCTGACCGATTTATGATTGTCTCGCTAATTATTTTGTTAGATCCCTTCCTTGTTGGACATACTACCTTTAACACTCCGCACCTCCTACACTCCCCTCATCGACAACCTCGCCGACGAGATATACGCCTCTTACCCCTCCCGTCACCGTACCGACTCAGACTTCAGTTCAGGAATTGCATCGGGTGAACTGAAGACGATATCGAACGGCGACCTATTCTTCCAAGAATACCAGCCGCTCTCCGTCATTACGCAGTGGATGCGCTTGATGGCATCGATGTTCTCCTCGCACGTACGTATGACTAGCGTGGGACTCAGCTACGAGGGTCGCGATATTCCAGCATTGCGACTCGGCGCTTCTCCCGACACAGAAGCTACATCGGGCCCTCGCAAAACAATCGTTATCGTCGGCGGTTCTCACGCCAGGGAATGGATCAGTACCTCCACGGTAACATATGTCGCATACAGCCTCATCACTCATTACGGCTATTCACCCGCGGTAACACGGCTGCTACACGAGTACGACTGGATATTAATCCCAACCCTCAATCCCGACGGATACGTGTATTCATGGGAGTCAGACCGTCTATGGCGTAAGAACCGCCAGCCAACGGGGCTTCCACTGTGCCCTGGCGTTGATCTAGACCGCGCCTGGGACTATGAGTGGGACGGCGAGTCGACTCGCTCGAACCCATGTTCAGAGAACTACGCCGGAGCGGAGCCTTTCGAAGCACTTGAATCGCACCGCTTGGCGCAGTGGGCTCAAAACGAGACGGCGCATGGCCGTGCTGAGATCGTAGGCTTCGTCGACTTACACTCCTACTCCCAGCAGATTCTATACCCTTACTCGTACTCCTGCTCATCCGTGCCCCCCACCCTCGAGACTCTCGAGGAGCTAGCGTTGGGTCTAGCCAAGGCAATCCGCCAGACCTCCCATGAATCATATGACGTTACTTCAGCGTGCGAGGGGATTCTCAGTCAAGGTACGGCTGCTGGGATTACCTCGGGTGGCAGCGCATTGGATTGGTTCTACCATAAGCTGCACGCCACGTTTTCATACCAGATCAAACTCCGCGACCGTGGTAGTTACGGATTCCTTTTGCCTTCGGAGCACATTGTTCCAACGGGCAAGGAGATATTCCATGCTATGTTGACATTCGGCAAGTTTCTCCGGGGCGACGAAGCGTCGGATATCAGCTTTGAGGACTTGATGGTGGATCAAATACCTATAGGCGACAGCCTGTAAGGTTTTCTTCTTTTGATGATTGCATGTTGACTTTACGAGCGGATCTTCCCCTTCAACCTCTCTACTTCTGGTGTTCCAGAGTCTTTGTATAGTATGTTGGCCATTTGAGCCTAAGAATGTAAAGAACTCAAAACATTCCTCAATGTACCGGTAGGCTTGGATGTGACATGATTCTAAGAAAACAACCACTGTATCCGAACTTCAATACTAAGCAAGGTTTCAAGGATTTATGTATCCCATCAATAAGCAGGAATCTTACGGGAGCTTTCAAATGAAAAAGAATATATAGTTTTTCGTTGCTATCCTCACAGAATATGCGCCCAGAGTTACGACTAAAGTGGACTAGTTCCATGCAAGTCCCCGTTGACGTACATGTGAGGCTCGCGGTCATAGGTCACTTTTTTTACTAGAGGCTGCTAGCCCTCTATATTAATTTGTACATACATATCAATCTACTATTGATAGCTACGTTTCTTGAACCAAGGGTAAAAGGATAATAGACCGAAAATCATTTCTCATAATCAAAATATATGAAGGTAAAGCAAGATATTAAAGGTCTGTCGATGTGGAAAACGACGGCACAAACCATGCTCAATTCCCACAGCAACAAGATATTTGGGTAGGATGCGCATCAGAAAAGCCAGGAGACGAATTTTTGATAGAACCAGCTTGCGTCGTTGTTCTTCTCTGCCTCGGCCTCCTTCGCGGCGAGATACAACGCCTCTTCGCGATCAATCTCGTCCTTGCCAGTAAAGAGATCGGCTGTCATGGGGTTAACACCTTTGGAGCCGGTCGCGAACTTATATCCGAAGATCATAATTAGGTATAGAGGGATACCGAGGTAGGCAGTAATAAAGTTCTTGTAATCGAAGTCTCCATATGTTTTGGGGTTGTGGATGAAGACGTCGAAGTTCTTAGTGAAAGCGATGAGGATGCAGAATCCCAGAGCAAAGTATGAGCCTGCGATGCCAAAGGGCGCCTTGTAGGCCAAACTTTCCTCAGGGATGCCCTGGGCTTTGCGTGCACGCACGAAGTAGATGTGGGTGACCAGGATGGAGATCCATGTGAGGAGACCGAAGATGGTGACAAGGTTCACGAAGTACTTGAACACAGTCTTGGAGTCGCTGCTAACATTCATATAGCCCAGCAAGGCAATCACAGATGAGATAGCCAGTGCAGGTACGGGAACGCCACGGCGGTCGGTGCGGGCGAAGATCTTGGGAGCCTTGCCTTCGCGGGCCAGGCCATAGATCGTACGGGTGGCGATGTACAGATCCGAGTTGGCTGCTGAGAAGACAAAGAGCAGGATACAAGCGTTCAGGATGTGGGGCAGGATTGGGATGGCGGCCAGCTCGATGGCGACCACAAAAGGTGAAGCTGCAGCTGAGCCCTTTGCCTTGTTATCGTCTGAAAGGGCGAAGAGGAGGCTCGGGGAGTTGTACGGAACTAGTGTGCCAACGAGAAGCACACTCGTTACGTAGAACACCAGGATTCGGTAGAAGGTCAATTTGATCGCGCGAGGGATCGTCTTGCGGGGGTTTTGTGCCTCTCCCACCGTCACTCCGACTAGCTCAGTGCCGAGGTAGGCAAATGTAGCGGACACCATCGTGGACCAGAAAGCCAAGAATCGACCAGGTGCCCCATCCATCTTATAGGTGTTGAAAGCACCCGGGCTCTTCCAGTAGCGGAAACCCTTACGGTCATGGTCCGGTCCACCACCAAGCATGAGGATAAAGGATAGGAGGATGATGCCGAGGATAACAACGACTTTGAATGAGGACAGCCAGAACTCAAATTCACCGAAGAATTTCACACCGAAATAATTGATGGCGACGACAATTACCAGGAAGATGGTGATCCATACTCCAGCGTTCACCTGCTCTGTGGGTATCCAGTATGATATAACCAATGCACCGGCAGTCATTTGATTTGGTGATAGAATGATATATTTGAACCAGTATCTGGATTCGGGATTCGTGTTAGCGAGATCAATTTTTAAGGGAATGAGTAGTACATACGTCCAACCGAGGGTGAAGCCAAGCGCAGGGTCAACAAATCGGACAGCGTAACCAGTGAAACCAGAGGGCAATGGCAGCCAAGCCGCCATCTCTCCAAGAGCACACATGACCAGGAAAACGATGAAACCAACCCAAGCATAAGAAATGAGAATTGCCCCGGGCTATTCAAGTCAGCAAGAAAGTTCGGGGGTCAATTTCGATTTGAACACTCACGCCAGCCCTGTACGACATCTGGTTAGCCTTGGATCTCAGAACAAAATGGGCAGGGAAAACAATCACTTACTTTGCAAGAGCTTCTCCGGTTCCGATGATCAAGCCCGTACCAATAGCACCACCGATGGCTGTTCACTGTCAACGAATGCTTGTGTCCGACTCAGAACTACACCCACCAATCATAGTAATATGTCTCGCCTTAAGCGCACGATGCAGCTCAACATGGTTGGGGTCGTTCAGGCCACTATGACCACCTTGCTCAATCTTGACATCCTCACTGATCTCCCTTGTGAGGGTATTGTCCGGATATTCATCGACTTTGGTAGACTTCTCCATTGTGGATTCGACGCGCAGAGGTTTGCGCTGACGAGGAAAAATGCCCGGGTAAGAGGTAAGAGTAATCCCAGATGTAAGACCAGGAAGACAAGAGGGGGGGGAGAGGAATTAAATGGAAAGCCAAGAGTGGAAAGTACACAGCCCTGGAGATAAGCAAGAGTAAAAAGCAAGTTACTGCTTAGTTAGTGACAGGAAACACAAATAATAAGATACGCGACCCTAGAAGACCTCGGGATTAAGATAGCCAAGGGTTTTTGTGGCTTTACAGGTTAAGATATTAATTTACCCAAACACCTCATATCACCTGCACAGTTCATTCCCATGATCTGACAGTTTGGCCATTTTCGGGTTCCGGGGAGTACTGGCACAATACGGCTGTGCTGTTGATCTAGTATATGTATAGATTACTTCCCCTGTATCGAATATGTCTTCCGTCAATAAACTCCGTATACTATACCAGATATTATTCCAAAAGGGACACCCGGGCAAAGCGGAGACATTGGCGCCAAGACCCGGATACTATAGGCTCTGCGGGGGCGCGCTTTTCGTCGGCATTCGTCGGAAATTTTTAGGTTGCCCCATTCCCCCCGTTCCCCCAGGTTTTGATATGAAGCTTTTTGTTTACACTTAGTATTCGATATAAATGTGAGAATAACACATGTTCAACTGTATTTACAGAGCTGATGTCGATCCAAAAGCAAAGAGAGTAAGCTACCTCGAGGCCAGACCCGGCCATATTTTTGACTCAACCACCCGATTGAGAGCCTCATTTTACGACAAGGGCCCTTATCAAGCGCAAACCTGAACGGACTGTCCAGCCATCCATTGCCAAGGCGGAATTCCATCTTGGTCTGTGAAAGCTAAACTCAACCTGGGTGAGATGCACGTTTTTGAGCCTGGGCATCTGCGCCAAGGCCATTCGCGTATGGTTCAGCCAACCCTTATCTCTCTTGGCCGGTGCCCCGTGGCCCGGTCGTAAATTTATGGCGGGATTTTTTGGTGGAGGTAGATGCGGAATATTTCTAGAAAGATTCTGGATTGCGGCGGGGGCCTGGTGGAATAATTTACCCGGTGGCTTTGGCGTCGAGGCTGCGCAACACAAAGCAAATATGAGGGGGTGGGGTGCCACAGCATGGAGTTTTCTAATCCTATCTACAAAGAATATCTCGTACAACATACATAATCCATAGTTCCGCTGGATATGTCCATCTTCTTGGCTTCTTCGATTCTTTATTCGGAGTATGTGTCAACAAATTGTGATACTGCTTATCTCGTGCTTGTTCCTGCTGTAACAGTGGAGATGCCCAGCCTAGATAGCAAATGTTTCAATCCCGTCACCTTTTTATACTTTCTCGTGTACCAGTAAATGCTCTGAGACAAGGTCTAACAGAGGAGAGAGACACCAAGGCTAGTATCGAAGTTGGAACGGTGTCAGGAAGAAAGCCTGGGACAGCTCCCCTTGCTGGATTTCTGGCATTGCAATGTGAACAAATCGAACAATATAAGAAATTGGCGAGTCATCGTTAATGAATATCTGAAGTCCACATAGGACATTCTCGTTTTCTGGTGTGGATTTGGCTGTGACGAGCATTCTCTTGATCTCACGAGACCTTGAAGATACATGGCTGGTCTTTCGGCTCAGTGAGCAACCCAAAGGACCAAGGTTTTGGGACAAAGGGTCATAGAGATGGTGTCCCAAGTCTGCAATGTGAGGTCCCAGAGACGCAGTATCTGAAGTGAAAAGCCATGACGTGGAAGTAGACCGTAGAGGGATGTGGTTGATAGCCTAGATGAAGAAAGAATACAAAGGTATTCAGATTCCAGAATTGAACGAATAGTGAGACTGTAAAAAACGATGAGCGATGTGATACATTAGCTAGTCATATAAAATGGGAAACTGAATATAATCGAGTCGGGGCTTACCCAGCTATCCAGATAATGCGAAAGATTTCAGTAAACAGAAAATCGCGCTTGCTAATATTCCATCCAGGGTAATCAAGCAAATTAAGCTCAATTCAGGTAATAGCGATTGATCTAGAGCATGCATAGCTGACGTGGAAGACGATGGCCCATAACCAGCCAACGCATCCACAACCCAATCATGCAATAGTCGAGGTCACACCGACCCAGGAAAGGAGGCTCTTTGTGGCAATCGGGCAGGATTCAGCCTCATGAAAATGCCCGAAGACAGGAAGCTACCGGTTAGATCGGTTATTCATTCGTCCAGAATCAAGAATCACAGATGCAAGTTGCAACCCACAGCGCTTCAATGCATTACTAGTGACGTGGCTTTGGAAAGGCGGAATTTTGTTTCCTCGTAAAGAACCACATTTGAGGGGGTGTGTAGCCACTATGCAGGTCTAGCCTAGTTGGGTTGAGGGAAGAATACCACGCACATGTGAAATTCAGCCGCTTTATTCCCTAGTAGGAGTGACTGGGGCTAGGGTTTAGGGGTCAAATAGTATGTTTGTGTGGTTGGACTTGACGGAATGGATTGCTCGTATTTTTTCAACTACAACATAGGTGGCACCGCCGAACAATGGCGACCCCTGTGGTTAGACAGGGTACAGTTCATGCTATACAAAGTGTATGATGTGACCGAGGAGAACTGAGCCAGTCAATATCTCATCATATCCGCTGTTACTTTAAAACTACTGCAAGCCACCGTTTACCAAAGTTCCTGCAAACACGCCTGAAGCTAGCAGCTGGGGATATTCTCAGCCTGTCGATCAAAGGCAACGTTACCAACAGCCTGGATGTTGGGAATGTGATCAAGTCATTTCGGTGGGGGCCATTTGGTCTGCGAATCCAATTCCTTGAAAGTGTGCTGTGGTGTGCATAAGTCCGTTGGGGCAGCGATCGTTCATTGGGTGGTGAACGCCTCAGCGGTTACAGATATTTATATTTTTTTATCGTGCTGATCGGAGGATTATGATTCGTTGAATGAAAGTGGAATTTACTATCATTAGAAATACTGAATAGTAGTTAATTTGACGGTTTTCCATGTTAAGACTTGAAGAGATGCGGGGGGAATTGATTCTTTCTCCTGAGCTGGTCCCTATATCAGGGTCTGGTGGCAGCCGAGCATCTGGATTCTTCAACTTCAGATCTTCAACCAAAGAAAGTTCTCAAATTCCTAGTCAATCACATCATGGGTGCCATGCGTCTCCCCCGCCCAACGGGCATCTATGTCCCCAGTTCACCAAGAACCCTCACCAGCGACATGATCTCTCCACCACTCTCTCCAGAATTCAGCTTCGATTCCGAGACTGTCACACCCTCTCTAATCCCAGCTCTGGAATACATCTCTGCCAAACTACAACAAAGAATGATGCACGTCACCCTCCTCATCGGCCGCGGAAAGCCCTACCCGACCGGTCAAGCCTCTGACTTAATGATCATCCCAATCCATTCAATCGAGCCACAAGCATGGCGAGTACTCGAACGTGCCATTGCCAAAGGCTCGAGGAAGTTCTCACTCGGCCCTAGCTGGACCGACGCCCTCAGCCGCAGCCAGTATGAGCGCCAGGCTAACGATCACCTCGTCAAGCAATCCATTCTGCAGAACGAAGTCATCTTCAGTCAGGAGGGTCTAACTCTCCTGAACATGGACCGCATATATACCTTCAAGCGCCGTATGTGCATTCTCTCTACTCGTCCGTTCTCCTGCAACGGCGGACAGTCAATGTCATCCTGCGTTCGGCTACTCCACCGCATCGTCGCAGATTTCGCCGGTCGCCCCTTCAGCAAGGCTTTCTTCTACCGCGTCTATGAGCAGCTCGATGTCCCAGACGAGCAGCTCACTGCCGTCGCAGTTGCTTATAAAAACGTCCACAACCAAGATGCGATCATTCTTCCCGTCCAGGCAAAAGCTCCTGCTCCTGCTCCTGCTCCTGCTGCTGCTCTTGTTCCTGTTCCTGTTCCTGCTTCTGTTCCTGCTCCAGTTCAGGCCAAAGTCGAGGCCACTATTTCAGCAAAAGTTACAGCGAAGGTCCAGCCCAAAGTGCAGGCAGAATTTCAAGCAAAAGCTCAGCTAAAAGCTGCTGAGCGAGTCATCTTGAAACCCAAGGCCGACTCTATCCCTATCCGGGTGAGAGCCGAACGTCCCCGTGAAGTCAAAAGATCGCCCATCCAGACTGTGCGCGGTCGGAGACAGCCCCCATCGTCGAGGATGCGAGGGCACAATAAGCGTGGACCTAAGACGCCTCTTTCTGCGTCGGATGTTACTCCCATCACGCGGAATGAGTGGAATATTCTTGTCAGCCAGGATATTCGTGTGCAGCCTAAGGTTACACAGTGGACTCCGTCGCCGAATGTGTTGGCCGCTGCTTGAACTTGATTTCCAGTTCTGTTGGTGCACAGAACAATTTGCTGTTAGATCCATGATAAACCGCCAGACCGTTGGGTCTCGCTCACGGCTCACATGCCATCCTCCAGGCTTATTGGGGCTTGCTTGAGCTAGACTATAGATACATATACGAGAACCAAATCTAGCCCATGGTGCTGGGTCATCTCTGTGTCTTCCCCATACCTGATTCCACCGATACTGGACCTTTATAGGCCATTTTGGTGGAGGACAGATTGGCCAGTCTTAACATACCGGGCGCAAAACCGAGTCCAGGACTAGTGCCGAGGACTACTCGGCACCCTATGATGATATGATAATGATTTCGAACGCTTTTAATGCCGGATTGGAGTCTTGAATGGAATGTTGGGAATCAATTCACAGTGTATATAGTTCTCTTTTTGGAAGACATACAAAACTTTTAATGAAATCGGGCAATATCCCAAATACATATTCAAGTAGGATTATAGCTATCCAAGAACCCCAAAAATAATCAAATCATACACCTTATTAAATGCTGCAATGATTCGGGCTCCTCCGGACTAGTTTGTCGAGCAGCCAGCATGGCCCCGCTTAAGCTGGGCGACCGGCGAACTGAGACAGCTACCCACCCAATCACAGGCACGGGAAAAGATTTACAGTGGATGTCAAACACCAAAATCAAAGTATTGAAGCTATTAGCACATGGGAATGCAAGCTGTGAATAATCCAAGACATTTCCTATCAGCATCGGAACTCGCCGCTATTGTACTGTAGCACACAACACTGTCGGCGTTTTGGATGTTGACATTCATACTGAAAATCCTGAGCACTCCGGGATTCGCGCAGATCTTGCGGAATCCTACATGTACACATACACGAAGGGGAGGTTGTCTGAAAGATGTCGGCTTGGCGGAATCGGGCTTGGCGGGGTTATCTAAAGTTTAAGCGCGGGCATATAGCCCTGGAGGAACCCCTCTTCCGTGTTTTCAACGTCAATTGAAAGATTTCGATATCTCTCCAAGAGACATTGTAGACATCGTGACAGACATTTAGTCTGATATCCACCATGTCGGAATTCAATGAGCCCGCAGATACAGACTCGCGCAGTCTAGACAGCGACCGCAAATGGAGTCTGCAGCCTCTTCTTCGAAGTGCCGAGCGCTCGCATAGCAAAATGCCGGGTATTAGGAAGATTCCTCTTCCTGCCATTGGAATTATTGCATTTATTGCGTTGTTGAATATCATAGTCTGGATTGCGGCAGCTATTGTGCTGGTAAGTTTGAATAGGTTGTTTGACATTGGGTTGATTTGCTAATGCTTTTGTAGAGTTACCATCCGTGAGTCTTCATTACTGGATATCCCATAGCTCAAATCTCATTTCATTTACTAATTGAGCGGAATACAGTTCGCTCGTTTCTACAGCTGCCCTAGCCTATTCTCTTGGATTAAGACATGCATTCGATGCAGACCACATATCGGTATGTCGAAGTCGGCCTGGAAATAGACCAAATGATTAACAGTGAGATCTATAGGCTATCGATCTGATGACCAGACGACTCCTGGCAACAGGACAAAAGCCCGTTACCGTGGGCACGTTCTTCTCGCTTGGTCACTCAACGTGAGCACAGTCAACCCATTCTGTATCAAGTCAAATCTGACCTAGTCTAGCATCGTGATTATCACATCAATTGTCGTCGCAGCCACAGCAGCAGCTGTCTCCGACCGCTTCGATGGCTTCAGCACGGTCGGTGGAATCATTGGCACCTCCGTCAGCGCTGCCTTCTTGATCCTGCTTGGTCTTATGAATGCGTATATCCTTTATAAACTCGTGAAGCAGATGCAAAAGGTCTTCAGTCTCCCTGAGGGCCATGAAGATGAAGCGTGGAAGATCGAGGGTGGTGGAATCCTTTTCTCGGTTTTGAAGAAAATGTTCAAGCTGATTGACCGGTATGTTTTTTTGGTCAAGCTGTTGATGCTACGCATTATCTAACAAATATGTCTATTTTTGTCTAGTCCGTGGAAGATGTATCCCCTCGGAATTCTTTTCGGTCTTGGCTTCGACACCTCCTCCGAGATCGCTCTACTTGGAATCTCATCCATCGAAGCCGCGAAGGGAACATCCTTCTGGGTGATTCTCATTCTACCGGCTCTATTCACAGGTCAGTACCCTCACATGCGAGCTCATCAATCCCCTCCTTCAGCTCTAACCAATGCCTCCCAGCCGGTATGTGTCTTCTCGACACAATTGACGGAGCCTTGATGTTCGCCCTTTACATCCAACCAGCGACCAACTTCCTCCCCCAAAAGCCAACAAGCACTGTCTCAGACACCTCATCAATAGCCACCGATCCAGACCAGCTCCCGCAATCGCATAACAACCACCGCGACCCAGTCGCATTCCTGTACTACTCAATCGTGCTAACCACACTCACCGTCATCGTGGCGATTGTGATTGGCGTGATCCAGCTGCTCAGTCTCATCTTGAATGTTACAGACGCCAAAGGCAAATTCTGGGACGGCGTCCAGGTCGCTGGTGACTATTATGATGCTATTGGCGGTGGTATCTGCGGTTGCTTCATTGTCTTTGGTCTGCTGAGCGTTCTGGTTTATAAACCATGGCGCAGGTGGATGGATCAGCGACACGGGAAACATGTCGTTAATGACATCGAGAGGTATAGAGATGACGGTGATTCTCCCGGGGATGCTCCCGGTTGTGGTATCATTGTGACTGAGACCCCCAGCGGCACTGCTACTGAGGTTGTTGGGAAGGGGGCTTCGTCTCGGGTTGCTATAAAGGAGACTGGTGAGCCGAGACTTGAAGACCACATCGTGTAGGCGTTGCTACATCCTAGCTAGTATAAGCCAGTTGCTATTCTTCAAATGCAAGTGTTTTTAATATCCATATATCCTTCATCGTGTAGAAGTAAGCATCTCCCAAGGGAAAGAGATTACTGCCAAAAGTAAGGTGCACGAGGCTCTGCGGGTTTACCCTAGCTCCTTCCCTTCTGGTCAAAAATCGTCACCCACCCTGGTTTCTCCATGACCTTAAGCCACTGGACAGGTATAAATACCCCCCCCCCATTTCTCTCTTTTCTTCTTTCTTCCTCCTTCACATCTCTGGATCTATCTCTACTTCCGCTTTTCAAGGTTTCATCCTCCACCATGGTCACCCTCCATCCACCTTGGTCACCTTCCACCTTGATCCATCATCGAACATGACTTGATACCACTATGGACCTTCCACTATGGTCATGGTCACCGTCCACCATGACCCCATCCACCATAGACCTTCCGACTTGGTCACCTTCTATCATGGACCTCCCACCTTGACACATCGTCGAAAATGACTCGATACCACTATGGACCTTCCACCTTGGCCACCATCCACCTTGGTCACCATCACCTTGGTCACCATCCACCTTGGTCACCATCCATCATGGACCTTCTTGGTCATCCATCATCCAACATGACTTTGGAACTATATGCATTTCTTGTGACATCTATCTATTCATTCTAAAAGACGACCCTTGCTAACTCGGTTCTAGAAACCTTCCCCCCCCCCATATTTCCCTCCCCCTCCGTGACCATCCAGCAACTGGAAACCGTTCCGGTCGACAGGCTTGCAGTGAAAGCACTCCGGCCGGTAGTTTAAATGCTACTCGCTGCAAGTTTCCAGCAACTGGGCGTGGCCTCGCAAAGCGACTCAGTCGACAAGCTTATGGTGGAAGCACTCCGGCCGGTAGTTTAAATGCTACCCACCATAAGTTGCCTCGGGGCAAACCAACAACCGGGCGTGGCTTCGCAAAGCGACTCGGACGGCAACAGCTTCTTGTCAGCTATCATGAACACAATTCGATTATGGTCAATCACCTCTTTTTACCCCTCATGTTCCTCTTCCCTTTAATCACTACCTTCTTCGATCATCATGTTCTCTATCAGCCCTCGCGTCAATGCTCGTGCTCAAACCTACAACCAACTGGCTTCATCAATCTTCTTGGTCAAACTACGTCTCGTCGGTGTCTACCGCATATCCCGTGCCAACAACCCATCAATGCGGCATCTAACCCTTTCTATCTCAATGCCAATGGTAGCCAAACCATCGATTACCATTTCAGTCCCGGCGCCACTTCAAACAACAAGAAGCCCAGGTCAAAGCATCATTGCTTGTTCCAAATCCCAGTGGCTCTGTTTACACATGATCATTCTCTCCAGCCAAAGACCAAAAGCCAACTCTGCCACATATCCACTACAGACTCGGCTGATATTCAGGATGCATAAAATTGGGCTCCTCGGGATTCATATATCTGCGCAGCAGGGTTTGACGTGAGGGCTACTAATTTTCCTACATTTTCGCATTCTTTTGCCAGGTTCCAAAGTCGTTGGGGTGTGTTCGCAAAAAAAAGAAAAACATTCCATGTCTCATACATACCACCATAGTATTCTTGTTCTCACAGGACACTTCATGTAAAGCAAATCAATGGAACTTTCATGGTCATCTTTCAATTTCACCTTAACAGCTTCGTCTTCCAAGTAAGTCGAGTTGCAACTGCTGTCTTCTATATAGTAGCTTTTTATTTCATTGTGGTACTATGTACACTCTTGTACCTCTGGTTTTTTTAACTTTTATAAACTTCGTTGGTGCCTCAGGCGTCACACTAGTGACGTCAATACCATCTACATAACTATCACCCCGAGCTGTCGCAATCCCAAATCAACGACAACTTCAGTTCAAAATAAGATGAGAGCGATCCCTATATAAACTTTGCTCTACAAAATTGGAGTTTCGATGTTTTTGTCTCACTTGCTCGCCTTGAAAACCAATTATTTTTCAAACGCCAACAAAAGAATCACGCTCCTTGAAAGACTCTTCCTTGCGTATATGATGATTGCTTATTGTAGTTCTATCAAAAATTCATTTTTTGGAACTATCAGCGAGCATGATCGAAGATAAGAGCTCTTCTTCAAAAGACAAGACGGAACATGTCTCCCTCTTCTCATCCCAACCT